AGATGGTGTCGAATCGAGTGGATCGCTTTGCGACTCTATGCGCTTTGCGGCGGTGGACACGGTACCTTATCCTAATATTACTCTCTTCAGCTGTAACAATATTCTTCTGTTCTGTTCAGTGCCACTGATCCTACGCTGTTCGAAGAAATTGTAATCGACATTTTTGAAGCATTCCGTGAAATGGAATTGAATTCTTTAGCACAACTGGTGGATACTCAGCTGACCGATCCTGATTTCGCAAAGCGGTACGCTCCCAGATGCAGGATGTTGGTTTGTAGATGATCTGCTATGTTTCAGATGGACACCTCTCAACCGAAATCCACTCACGGATCACAGTAATCCAGTACTCGAAATATCTTGCAGGTATTGCCCGCTAACAGTTGGTCCATGTCCCATTTTGATTTTATAGTTGTAATTTATATGCGTATGGTTATCGATCGAGGAGGATGCACCACTTACTCTTGATACCACCTTTAGCCATTATTTATGTTCCTATGAGTCCCCATCGCTACTTTGACCGTAACGATACACATGCTCGTTTCCTTATTTCGGAACAGTTATCAATCAGTTTTCTCGATTTCTTGCGCTACGCTCAACTTTGATCAAGAGGTAGTGAAACAACTGATGCCACCATTGCAGGATGTTCCGTGAACGCTTTCTCAACTGTGAACTGTGCGCACGATTAGATGAGTACGCGGGTCTTCTTGTCGATAGGATCGCGGAATTCAATTCCCTGACGGTTTGGTTTCTGAGAAATAATATCATGCATTTCGCATGATCAGGCTCATCTAAACAAAAAGTGTTTTCAGTTCTCTGAAGTCTACACCTTGGCACCCATAGAGCCACCTCGTCATGTTCCTCAAATGTATGAAGACATGTAAGTTTTTTTCTACCTGAGAAAAATTAGGCCCCTTTTTGCAGCAACGTGCTGTTTGTGCATTTCCTTTCACATTCTTGTTGATTTTCTAGTTGAAAGCCGGCTTTGTTCGAATTTGAGGCTTTAATGATTACCAAGCTCTAATCACTTTTATTCTGGAACTCTGTGTACTTATATTCTTTAAACTCACGCTAAGGCAGTGTTCAGACTTCGCGATGGCGCGTTTCGGTCGCACGTCCGCCGCAATCGATGCGCATGCTTTCGACTGCGTCGATCGCGTCAAACGCGCGAAGCGCTGCCGTCGCGAAGCATGAACGCTGCCTAACTTTTCACAACCCTAAGAGCAGTTTCCACTGAATCCTCGGGTAAAGCTTCAAAAGGGTGTGGGATAATCCTTTTTGCATCGATCATTCCTTTTTTGATAGTCCCCACATTTAATTCCATTCAAACTTTTCAGTGATTTTTACAATGGCTTGCGTAGGCCAGCTGATGTACGAGTCCGCACTTTCATCCTCCCGGTTGGGTCTCCTACCAATTTGCAGGCCACGGACTCATGACGGCCGGCAAACTGATTGGTCAAGGCTGTGGCCGACCAGCTGCTTTCAGTAAGAAGAATTCCATCAAATTGACCGCCTACGCGCTAACCTCTAGGCTGTCCTCTTCGCTGTGGCTAGTCGAGCGTACTACCGTTCTCAGGCGATATATTTGTCAATCGAAGCCGACTGATAGAACGAATTAAGAGAGATGAGATAGGAGATTCATTACGAATATTAACGACGAGAAGAAATAGTAACAAGGTAGCGAAAATGGGCTACAGAGGTGACAGCCTAATGGCTGTCTCTGGGCCTACTTCGGTATCTATAAGGAGGCCCAGAAATAGCAGTTAGGCTCTCACCTCTGAAGGCGTTGCCGTCAGGTGATACTGGAGCTTCTGTTGTACCCGGGAATGTGTCTTGCCTCGCGAACCTGAACCTTCCTCTATACTTTATAGTTCTTCATTTTAGCGACCCTTCACAACTTCTTGCCGATGGAACTGTCATGAGCTCTCCACAGCGCACCGTCGAAATTGAGTCAGACCCTCAGCCGCCTCCGAAACCAGTGGGCAGACTACTAGAATTGAGCAGCAAGCGGATGAAAATAGAAGGCAAAGAAGAGGTATGCTACAAATTCTTTTTTGTAGAATTGTTTTGGATTCCTCGTTTTTCTCATCTGTTCTCATCCAAGAAAAGGATAAAGGTTCGCCGTTGATCAATCCCTTCGTAAGATGCGGCGCGCATTCTACTTCAATTCAGAATCGCAGTGGCTTATTGAATGCGATGTGGCCTATATAAGCCAATGTACAAGTCAGTGTTCCTGTGCTCTCACACGAATTTTACCAATTTACCGTCCCCGGAGGGTAGAAGGCTTGGTTGGCCTGGGCGGGAGTCAACCCGGCATTTGAACAAGTCCGCGTGAGTGGTAAGCACGCCACTTGTCAATAACCACCTCCGCCTCACCTCATCCAATACACGTTACTAAACCATAGTTCCCATAGAGGACAAAAGATCAAGTCTTTGCTGCTGACAAATCCCTTTTTCGGGATTACAACACGCATTCTACGTCCATTCAGAATAGCATAGGCTCGAGGAATGCAATTCGGCCTACACAATGACTTGCGTGGGCCAGTCGATGTGTAAATCAGTGGTCATATCCCACTAGACGGATCTCGTACCAATCTACCGTCCGCGGAGGTAGAAGGCTTGGCGGGAGTCGACCCGAGAACTGACTCCAGTACCATACGTATGGTAACTCACTTGTCCCACTTGCCACTACACTACTCACAAAATACGACAGATGTTAATAATTTTTGCTTAATGACGAATTCTTCAGTTGGGCGCGTACGTCGTTGTCGGAGAAGAAGAAGTTCTTGATGAAGTTGTTGAAGGAGCTGAAGCAGAGCAGGTTAGCTTCCGATTCTTGACTGTTGTTCTTGGATTGACTTGCTTTTCCTAGTTGGTAGAGGAAGCGGTGCTGAGCGGTGCACTTGGTAGTATCGACGAAGGCGTATCACTTATCGATGCAAATACCGATGAAGGACCCCGTGACGTGGAAATGGCAGAAAATAGACGAAAAGCCAGGTTGAAACGGATGATGCAGGTAATCTATGTTTGTTTTTTTCTTAGAATCGATACGAGTTTGTCAAGAGCTTGTAATTGTTTCAGATATTACACGAGAAGGTGGATTTGATGGCCGACGATGAGACAATGGAACTGATGGAGACTGGTTTGACACATGTTGTGGAGCAGCTGAAGGATCCGTCTTTAGCTATGCAAGTAGGCGCTTGAATTACACATTGCAAACAGGAACAGTGAATAGTGGTTGAACTGGTGATAGAATGAGAAATAAATAAGAAGTAAGAAATAAATAAATAAGAACAAAAAGAAAAGCGTTCTCCCTGAATAATTCCGCTCTCGGATGCGGATGCGGCACGCTTTCCACTTCCATTCAGAATTGTAGTGGCTTTGGCGTGTGTGATGACTTGCGGGAGCCAGGCGAGGTGCAGGTCAGTGTTTTTGTCCTCCCAGACAAGTCTGATACCGATTTACCGTTCCTGAAAGCTAGAAGGCTAGGCTGGTCTGAGCGGCAGCCAATCCGCGATTTGATCCCCGGATCGTGCGCGTGGTAATCGTGCCACTTGCGACTACATCACCTCTGCCTAGAGTGATAAATAGGTTCATAAAACTGCAACACCAGTGCTACTTGCGGAATTACTTCGTCTGAGTAGGCGTCGTGGACGTCCTCAGCTACGCAGGCAGGGTACAGCACCGTTGCGTGAAACACATGGGGGTCGTACTTGACCGACGGAGAATGGGTCGTATTCGGTCGTTGCTGGGAAAGGGGGTGGGTCATATGTGCCTCTGAGACAAGTTTGCCGCGTTTGGAAAAAAAAATTCTGGTTGTTGACTTTTTCTCGTTTCACTGGTACTATAATACCCTAGTTGGTGGCGCCGCCAAAGTTCTATAAAAAAGGATAAAAGTCTTCGCCGTTGATCAATCCCTTTGTGGGATGCGGCACGCATTCTACTTCCATTCAGAATCGTAGTGGTTATTGAATGCGATGTGGCCTATACAATGACTTGCGGTGGGCCAACAGTGTAAAAAAAAAAAAATACAAGTCAGTGTTTTATCCTCCCAGACGAATCTGGTACCAATTTACCGTCCCAGGACGGTAGAAGGCTTGGTTGGCCTGGGCGGATATCGACCTCCCAGGCGGATTGAAACCGCGCGGGACCCCGCGCGAATGGGAGCGCACCACTTGTCACTACACCATTTCTCCGCCATCGCCAGAGAGTTCACAACTACTATTTCCGATAGTTGTAAGATAATTATTCTGGATATCTTGACGCGCTTCGTGATCGTTCCTCCACCTCCCCGACTCCCGCTCAACGGAAAAATTTTTTGGGTGAAAACTGGAAAATGTGGGAAATTTCGAAAAAACTGGTAGGAAGGTGGGGATGTTGGGGAGGGCGGAGGTCAACCGTGCACTCTTTCAGTGGAGGGGGTCATACCGACACCACCATTTCACACATTACCCTGTATGTCTGTACCCTGTATGTAGGTCTAGTGATGGCATGATGTCCTCTTCAAGCTGGTGGTTCATTAATCCAGTTGTTCTTCTCTAGCAAGCTGAACTAATCGGCGAGGTCCAATAAAGCATTTTCCCCAGCTTAACTCTTTCACGAGATATTGTTTTTGAAAAGGGAAAGAACACGTGATGTGAACTGTGAAGTTGGATCTATTGCAGATCATATTTATTTCAGCGACGGCGATCAGCTCGTCCTCCAAAGCACTCGCCTCAAGGCTCATCATGAAATTCGGTTATACCACTGCCCTGATCTCATTTTTATGTATTTATTACTTTGCAGTTACTATGTGCTGTTACATGTCAACACGCAGATAATGTGATTGTCATTGTTTTATCGTTTGATTGATAGAGTATTATTAATATAAAAGAAATTTTGTCTTTCGTTTTTCACATCGAGAGCGGTTTGCCTGGATCCGTGAAGTATCTAAAATATTTCTTTTTTGCATTGTTTTTTCCTTCTAGTTTTTATTGGTTTTAATCATATCTTCAGATTTGAGCATGTCTGTCGAGACAGTACCTCGTGATCTGCGAAATCTTCGGGCCTGTTTGTTGTGCTCTTTAGTGAAGTCGTTAGAGCAATTTGAGATGGATGGCTGTGAGAATTGCGACCGAGTCCTGCATATGAAGGGCGACACTGACAAGGTTTATGAATGCACTAGGTAAATGGCTCGAAGAACGTCTGGTAACTTGATCCAGACCAATGTTTTTCAGCACAAATTTTGATGGAATGATAGCCTCCATGATGCCTGAGGACTCCTGGGTTTGCAAGTGGCAGGTATTTTCGTTTTCATGGAGAGTTTCGATTGGATGGGCCGTAGATTTCTCAAATCAGCTTTTTTTTCAGAAAATCAATCGTAAATGCAAAGGAATTTACGCGATCTCTATGTCTGGATCTCTTCCACCATCAGTGGTTTCGGAGTTGAAAACGGTCGGAATCCGGTATAAACCAGGAATGCGGGACACTGCATCTAAATAAATATGCTCTGTACATTTGTTCTTGTTTTCCTTCCACATATTGTCATTGTATTATGAAAAGCTTTGCTAATGGCCTTCTCCTGTTGTGTTTCGAGATTTTTGGACTTCATGAAGTTTGACCGTGGAAGTCTTATATTGAACTCGTAAACATTAATAGTGTACTTCGCTGCGGATGGTTGGGCGTGTCAGTGCGGCTGCGTTTGGCGCGGTGCCAAACTCGTTCTCCACCAGTTGTTGAAGCGGGCAAGTGACAATACTGTATCATATCGTTCGTATTACTCGTTTTCTACCACTTTTTGTCGCATGCGCGTTTCAGGCAAGAAGGCAGGAACGGCCATTTGATGGGGTGACGACCGAGCTCGACTGCCTGACACTGTCCAACGTCCGCAGCGAACTAAGTGTGTGATTCCACCATACCACTGTTCAGCAAAAAACGCTGTCAATCCTTCTCCTATTCGTGTAATTAATGACAAAAAAATTGGAGTATCAACTTGCCCAAGTGTTGTGGCTTGCTAGGATTGAAATGAATACATTGTGTGAATGACGGCAAGAAGAACATATACTGTAGTTCGCTGCTGATGAAGGGGCGTGTCAGGCAGTGTGAGTGTGCCACGGCGCCAGACTCGTATGCAGCCAGTTGTTGAAGCGGGTAAGCGACAACAGCTGATTGAAATGTACTGATACGAACGATATGAAATAGTCTTCTCGCTTCGATAACTGATGGGAATTGGGTTTGGCACGTTCATCCCGCCTGACACGCCCCTTCGTCCGCAGCGAACTAGACTATATGAAGGGGACATGAATCCTATTTGGAGGGTAAGGTAGACTCGAGGTCGTTAGCTGTAGAAGACATAGAAGAATCCTTTTGCTATGCGTTGATGAGTGTGAGAACCAAATGCGTCCTGCGTTACAGATCTCAGCGAGGGAGGTCATATTTGGTCGCTGAGAGGAAGATCCCCCTCCCTTCAGCGACCAAATATGACCTCCCTTCCTGTAACGGTTCTTGCCTTCGGGGAAATCTACTCAGCTCTTGACCTTGCTAGGTTTTCCGTCTTACTTGCGCTATACCCTTCCTTTTTTGGGAAAAATGGTAGGAGTCGTACCAGAAGGGGGAGTTTTGAGGGAGTTGTGTTTTGGAAAAAATTTTCCTAACGGAAGGACGTTCTTGGTGACGAAATCCCTCCGCCATCGTTCCATGCTTTGTTGCATTAGCTCGACTGATATCTCAAAAATAGGAGCTCTATCACTTGTTTGTAATCAACCGACCAGATGACACTAATGGATTCTAGTGTATTTAGTTTCAGTTCCTCCCTGTAGGACCGCCTATTAGACTACTGTCGTTGGATTTCTCGTGAAAAGAAAGAGTGATTAATGGGATTTCATAAGATACTTCTTGCGTAGGGGTTGTGTTTACCGAAATATTGGGAGTGAAAATCGTATATAAGTGCCGAATCAGGTAGAGAAGGAGAGTCCGTGATTAGCCGGGACCGAAAATCGGCTCATTACTGGGCGAAATTCGGCTCATTACTGGGGATGCTTTCGTTGCACTCTTTTTCTGAGCTTAAACAAACGCGTAGGGATTCTGGGAGGGCTGCTTGAATTTCTTGAGTGTCGAGTGCGTTTGACTCCTCGCAGAGTTGTAGAAGCAATGCTTTCCGATTCCTCCGAGATAATCCACACCATCACACGCGCGGGAAATTTCCTGGGCCTGTGAAAGAAGCGCGTGAAATTAAACCAGGGAAGAGTCAAGAATTAATGAGAATTTTCAAGGATTAATGAGAA